TTCTTTTAATAAGCTCTACAACTTTAATTAGAAGCCTAAAAGTAGTTAACTTAGTACAAAAAAAGTTTTAGAATGATATAGCCTATATTTACAAAACTCTAATTTCTATATATAAACTGCATCATATTATACTATGCTCTCTCTCTGGCTGATTAGCGAATCACCAATTAAAGTTTATAATTATAAACTCTAACTGAAAATATAATATTAAACCAAAAAAGCTTATCCAAATATACTACAATACACTATATCACATTACTGCAAAAATATTTAAACTCTTGGCAGAGTTAAATATAATTAGTTGTACTATACTAAAATCACATGTTGGCAAAATTTTGATGACAATTTAGGCTTAAAACAATTCAAAAAATGTGATATCTAAAGCTAGATAAATTATATAATTAATATTTATTGAATTATTTTAGAGTTAGAAATATCTTATCTTAGAGTTAAATTAGATTTAAATAATTATATATATACAAAATTACCTTCTTGACATTTTTGCTTAACCTATTCAAGATAGGTTTAGATTAATATAACTGTTTTTTTGTAAATAGTAAAAGATAAAACTAGACAAAATTCTGGTAAAATAGTGAAACTCTAACAAAATACTTAGTAAAGTTAAAACTTCTAAAAAAAGTCAAAACTCAGAAAAGATCAAATCCTTTAAAACTTTAGAAAAGACTAAGTCATGTTAATAAAATAAAATACTTTGCATATGGCTATTAAGTATAGCATATATTAAAAATATATAAAAGCAATAGACAAAGTGATAACCTTTTGTTTATATTCAAGTACTATTAAAAAAAAACTAGATTTCTAGTTTTTAAAACTTCAAAGTAAATTTAGTCTTGAAAATTCAAAGTTTAAAATCTTGTTTTGTTTTAATAATGCTTATTTATATATTAATATTATTTATGTAAAATAAATCTATAAATTTATTGTTAGATTGTTGAGATTTTTCTTTTTAATATTTCATTGTTAAAAACTTTAATTAAATACTATATATATATACAGTAAATAGTCACTAATACTAATATTTGGTGTGATGATTTAGTGAAGTAGTTAAGTTGTTGTACCCCCAAGCGATATATTGGCTAAGTAGAAAGTTCAAAACCCACTGGTGACAAATTTCAAAAATTCTATCTGTATAATACAGTAATAGCTACTGTCTTTTGTCAATCAATTAATTGAAATGAGATCTCTATAACCTTGGTAGCACTAACAAGATTAGGAGATCATAGGGCATTTATATGATGTATAAGTTGATCTTGATGCAAATTAACCAATCACATGCATGCCCTTCTAGAACAAAAACATGCATATGGAGCTTTGTCTGAGATAGGCTTGAGTCAGTCCTAAAAAATCCATGTGAAGTCGACTCAAGGACCGGATCCGACAAGCTTTTTAACAACCCTATTTCCCGATGCTCTAATTTATCTAGCTCTAAATATTAGAAATACGTATTAATTTGCAAATCGTATAATGTATAAATCACACCCAATTTGCATAAAAAGAAAAATTAAGCGTAGCCTAAATTAGAGTAAGAGCAGGCTTGAGATGGGATGGGGTTAATTTATACCAAAATTTCGCAAGGAATTTTTTTTTATTAGTACCCAAAAGGTGGTTACATGAGAGTTATAAACGGTTTTTTAAAGAAAGCAATAATTTTACGTTACAACTGATCATGTAATCTGATTGGCTTTCTATATATCCGTGTATATACATGTAGTGTACAAATAGAAATTGTCTATAATAAAATTACCAATTTTTATTGTAAAAAATATATATATTGTAACAAATATAATACGTATTAAATATATAAATAAAAATAATTATATAAAAAAGCTTTAATTATCTTTAATTACCTTTTTATTCTTGCTTTGTTTTATTAATTTTACTATGTATCTTTCACTAGTTTCGCTACCTTTTAGCAGTTTCACCAATTTCACTAGTTTAGCCACCTTTTGCCACTTTTTGTCATTTCGCCATTTTAATTTTTTTTGGACGAAAGTTGAAACTAGGTTTCGCCATTCACCTGTGGCGAAACCTCTAAGTTTCGCTTGCCAACACTAGTTTAAACTGCCATTTTTTGTATTTCTCAATTTTTCATTTTTCTTTCTTGTATTGCTTCGCTGACAATCATCAAAATTCTATAATTTGATTGGCTGATAGTCACATGATTCATTTCCGCTTTAGACGACCCCAAAAATAGGTCATTTAAAGCCTAGCACCTTACGAAATTACCCAATATGTGTCACAGATTATTCTGAACAAAACGACAAAGACAAAAACACGAAAATATAAAAAAAGGTCGGTCTTGATGCACTAAGTAAAAGTGCCGGAAATGCGATTATAAAAATTGGTAAATTAGCGTCATGTTAATTGCGTATACTGATCTACATAAAATTACTAGTTACGTCCTATATAAAAAAAGGGAAATATACCGACACAGCATGCACGTGACTTATCTACGTTATCGGCACAGCAAATGATCGACACGAATACATCAATCTTCTTGAAACTTTAAACGAAGATACCTTGACAACCATCAAAGCAAATTCGATGAATTTTTTTTTTATTTTAAATTTAAAGACTTGGAGAATTAAAATAATAGAAAGTTCATCGAATTTGATTTGATGATTGTCGAGATATCTTCATTCAAAGTTTGGTAAAGAACTAAAACGTCTATTAAGTAGAGGTAAAAGTTTTGACTTTGAACAAAGATATCTCGACAACAACCAAAGCAAATTCGATGAACTTATGTTTTTATTTTTTTTTTAATTCTATTGACTTGTAGAGTTAAAATAAAAAAATGATGATATATTTTGCTTAGGAGATTGTCGAGATATCTTCGTTCAAAGTTTGGTAAAAACTAAAATGTTTATTAAATAGAAGCAGGAAATTTTTTTAGAAACTTTGAACGAAAATATCTCAAAAAAGTCCATCGAATTTTCTTGAGTGGTTGTAAGGATATTTTCGTTCAAAGTTTCTAAAAATTTCCTTGCTTCTATTTAATAGGCATTTTAGTTTTTACCAAACTTTGAACGAAGCTATCTCGACAATTACCTAATCAAAATCGATAATCTTTTTTCTATTTTAATTCTACAATTCTGTAGAATTAAAAAAAAGATTAGTTCATTGAATTTGCTTTAATGGTTGTCGAGATATCTTCATTCAAAGTCAAACCTTTTATCTCTACTTAATAGACGTTTTAATTCTTACCAAACTTTGAACGAAGATATTTTGACAACAATCAAAGCAACTTCGATGAACTTTCTGTTATTTTAATTCTACAAGTCTTTAAATTCAAAATAAATAAAAATTCATCGAATTTGCTTTGATGGTTGTCAAGATATCTTTGTTCAAAGTTTTAAGAAGATTGATGTATTCGTGTCGATCATTTGCTGTGCCGATAACGTAGATAAGTCACGTGCATGCTGTGTCGGTATATTTCCCCATAAAAAATCGGTTTATAAAATAGAATGCAATTGAGCCGTAACTAATGACGTAAATAAGTCTGCACTTATACTGTAGAACTGAATTACTCTTATTTTCATTATTCTTGAGATAACTAAAATTCATCCTAACTTTCGTTTCTTTCTGAAGAATGTGCTCTATATCGGAATCTTCCGGGTCTTTATATTAAATTTCTTGAATATATCAAGCCAAATTTGGCAATAAAAATTGCCCATCCCTAACTTGAATGGAGTTTTTTTTTCGATGGTGTAAGATATACAGTCGACTCTGACTATAATGAACCTCCATATAACGAATTCTGGATATAATGAACTCAAAATTTTAAAATTTCATAGTAGTTCGGTATAAAAAGTGCCATTGGTTCTTAAGAAAAATAATAATTTTCTATAACGAACTTTTTTTTCTTCCAGAACCGTTAGTTCGTTATAGAAAGAATTGACTGTAATTGATTTCAGTGCATATTTTTTTCATATTTTTATTAAATACAAATTTTATTTAATCTAAAGTAGTTAAATATTTTCGCCAACTTCGTCATACGTACCAAAATGTTTTCGTCATCCAAAAATATATTTGCCATCCAAAAATAATTTCGGCATAACTAAAATATTTGTTATATTAAAATAATTTCGACATACTAAATTATTTACGTTTTAGGTAGTCAAAAATAATTTTGGAAGTCTAGATTTACACCAAATGCAAATTATTTGGACACCCATTGTATACGTAGCTGAATTAGCATTAAGTAATAAGTATCCGTCAGTTATGTATAATATACCTTTCCTCTCGATTTCTGGTGTCTTTGTCTTCTTTGGGAGTGTTGAGCTTGCTGCCTTTCTTATGTCTATAGTAGAATTATCACGCGAGCACTTTGCTATGGTTGGTCTATTTAAGACATAGAATCTTTGCATCTGTACTTATTAGCCAATAAACTATTAACAAACGATCTGATATTCTTAAATTAGGGTATTATAATGTATGATTTACTAGTCAGAATCAAATCAATTTTGGTAACAGAAATGATCAAATATATAGTGCAAAAATCCTATTTATACGTAGATATCAAGAGAATTACCAAATCTATACAGTATAATGGATTAAATCAATTATGTATAGATGTACATGTTATGTATATATTTTTTTCCATACGTATAATTTGACTGAAAGGTCGGAAGCCGACCTGGAATTTTGGGACCATTTTATTGAAATGATTTTCAGTTGTAAAAAGCGTACGTGCACGAGGAAATGATGATACTATATGATGAAAGTCTAATCCAAATATGTTGATACCTCCGGAGCAATTTTCGAGTCATGTTAAATGATAAAAAAACGTTGTTGTGCCAATTTAAATTATTAATCATTTTTATCTTGAAAATTTTATCTAGCGAAAAAATTACGCTCGTTTGTCAATAATTTCTTACCCAAATACCTCATTCCATCATCCTCGTTTTAACCTTTCATCCTAACTTAATAAACATTTGATAGAAATTTTTTCATACTAAAAAAAAAAAAAAAAAAATACAATGGATATCATTGAATATGATAATGAATCTGTGGATGAGTACATGGATCAATACTTGGAAGGTGAAGGTGAAGGTGAAGGCGGGCATCACGTAAGATTTGTAGAACCTGAAAAAGAAACGCCTCTATATTATGTGGAGGAAGCTAAACAAGCCCTAATCGATTTGAAAAGCGTAGTAAAAGAACCCGGTTGGAAAAAGATAATG